TAACGCTGCTATGAACATTAGTGTACAGGTCTCCGCTTGTGTGCCTCTGTTCTCATTTTCTCAGGGTTTATTCCAAACAGTGGAATAGCTAGGTCATGAGGAATTTCTATGTTCAGCTTTTTGAGGAAGCGCCAAACTGTCTTCTGGAGTGGTTGTACCATTTTACAATCTCACCAACAATGTATAAGAGTTCCTAGCTCGCTCCATCCTCCCCAACATTTATTACTTGCTGTTCTGTTAAACTTTGCCACTGATACTGGAGTGAGATGATACCTCATTGTATCTCTTCTATTGCCAGTGATCTGGAGCATTTCTTCATGTGTCTGTTGGCCATTCAAACATCTTCCTCTGTGAAAATTCTTTCCATGTCTTTTGCCCATTTTGTAATTGGGTTATCAGTCTATCTTCTCTTGAAATCAGAAGTTTTAGCTTCAAACTCTTGCCACAATCACTAACTACAGAAAGTGTTCCCTCACCTTTCTAAGGTTACGCTCTTGAATGAGGATCTTACAACTTTTAAGCAATTAAGATCATACAAAATATATTTAATACTCTATAAAATATATTTTTCCAAAGTAAATGTGAAAGAACATTTTCAGATAAGAAGATCTGATAAAAGTAGTCAGTAGCAGGCTTTTACTATAAGAAATACCAAGAAAAATTCATAACAAATGGAGATAGTGAAGGCTGAAAATTACAATCTGCAGGAAAAATACAAATGATAAAAAAATGGAAAATATGCTCTTTTTCTTTAATGTCTTAAAATAATTAAATAATAACATGAAATGGAGGTCTGTTAAGTGTAATGAAAGGAACTGGAAATGGGTAATGGTAACAATTGCACAATATAATTGATGGAATTAATATGCATATGAAAACTATTGCTATGGTAAATAAGTGTATATGTGTTTACCACACACTAAAACCCGAATAACACTCATGTGATCTCACATAAACCTCTAGATATCTCTATCTCATGTTTAGGGACAGGTCTGTAAGGTGAGGCAGTTCCACTATGGCCGGGCTGATGGGTCCCATTGGTGTCTTCCATCATTCACCACAAATCGTGCCATGGCAGTGCTTTGTGGCTCAGGCTGGTTGTGAATTTATCTGCTGCTTTAAAAGGATAATAATGATTAAATGACTGTTGCTGCTTTTCTCCTTCAAGTAAGAACATGCCAGAAGATGTGTACAGCTATGTGGTCCAGCAGAGGGCCCCAGACACCTCCCAAGCCTTGAACCACCTGGTGCCTGGCCTGTGGGTGCATTCTCTTCCAGGTCCTGCTGAGAGTGGGGGCCAGTAACCGGTGAGAGCAGGAAACAGCATTCTGTGCAGAATTCACTGTTGTGGTCAAAAGGAATTCCAAGTGGTGGGTAGTTACGTGAACTGTTACTTCATCTGTATTTCAGAGTTCTAATTAGGTTAAAATAAGCTCTTTTATATTTGTATTTGT